GTTCATCCCGGCCCGCGCGGTTGCCGCCGCCGCCGCCTCACTCACGGGACGCCGAGGCCGGCGCCGGGCCGCTCGGCTGCTTCCGGAACGGGCTCGGTTCCTGCCGGACCGGAGCCAAGCTCGGGCTCCCTCCGCCTTCTCCCGAGTGCCGCCCCTAGCAGACGTCCGGTCCTGCCGACCGGGAGGGAAGGCCGGCCCGGCCCGCCTCGCCGTTCGCCTCCTTCCGGAACGCCTTCGGCCGATCCGGAGAACAAGGCCGGGCGGTCGGCTCCGGACAGAGCGCAGGACGGCGCAGATCGGCCACTTCCGGAAGCCGCTCGGCTCTTTCCGGCCAACCGCGGACGGCGCTCGGCTATTTCCGCCGCGGCGGAGGGCGGGAGTGGAGAGCGGGGGTTAACCCTCTCCTGTCCGAGTCTCCGGCCCGGGGGCCCCCCGCGCTCGCGCGCCCTCGCGCTTCGGGGGCTGATTTGCAAGCGGCTTTGCCTGTTATTTGCATGACTGGTCTTCGCTCCCTTTCGCTTCTCCACACTCCACTTTTTGCCTTTACCCCGCCACCCCTTAGGGCTTTTGAAGCGCGTCCCACAAAAAGGAAAAAGAGAAGCGGAGGCGAGTTTGTTTTTCTATTTATTGCCCCTCAGCAGGCAGCGCGAGTGAAGGCCCGGGCTGGGGCTGCCCGGCTCGGCCACAGCGGGTCTGTACAGTGTGTGCAAAGGGTGCCGTTCGTCCCCTCCAGGCAAAGGCACGGTCGGGAATGTCTGGAAGTCTAGAGAGGAGTCAGCCAGGGCAAGGTCGTCCCTCCACCTGGGGGGCTCGGGCGGGGCGGAGTCACGCAGCAGGGCCGGTCCACGTCCCGTCCACGGCCCATCAGACGTCCAGGGAGGAGGCGGGAGACAGGGACGGGGTCCGGGAGGGCGTGGCGGGCGCCGGCCCCGCACCCCCAGCGCCCAGCACGCGCCACTGGAAGATGCTGGCGTCCTTGCCACCCAGGGAGATGAGGAACAGATCGTCGTGCGTAAACCGGACGCTGGTCACGTGGCTGCCGTGGCCCCCGTACATGCGACTCGGTGCCTGAACCAGACACCGTGTAAAGTTGCGGCGGCTGCGGCAGGAACCCCTGGGGGGCGGGCGGGGGGCTCAGTGGGACCCCGCGGACCCCCAGGGCCTCACCTTGGCGCGCGCGCACGGGTACTGAAAGAGGTGGACTTTGCAGAAGTCGTCGGCCACGGCCACCACTCGCTCATTGTGAGAGCGGCACAGGGAGTTGATGTCCGTCCCGTCGGAGCCATCGGGCCACACGCCTAGAACACAGACCTTCCTCAGCCAGGCCTCCTCCGTCCATCACCCCGGGCTGCACCGGTCCTGGCCCACGGGGCACCCATCAACTTCATTCCCATGCATGAGTGCCAGAGGAGCCTCCAGGCGTAGATCTGCCAGGTCTCTAGACACCCACCCCAGAACACAAAGGCCCAGTATTGAGAGCATTCAGAGCTCAGGAGGCATTCTCCATCTTGTCTCCCCACGACTCCCTGCAGGAGGTCTTTTAAGCCCTGCACCCCTCCTGCTCACCATAGACGTGGAAACCCAGCACACAGGTGTAAGTAGCCCATTCCCGATCTCGGCTCTCATAGCGATTCCTTAGCAGCTTGCAGCCTCCAGCCACGTCCCCTGCATAGAGGGGGGTCCACTCAATTCCACTTTCCACCTTCCCTCAGGAAGATGAGAGGGTTGGCAAGAGGAGTTTGAGCAGAGGTGACATGTGAACGCAGCAGTAAGCATTACCCCCACCGCCCATCATCACCTTTGAGTACTCCCTAAAGTTCTAACATCTCATCAGTTCAGACTCCCTAGATAAATCAGCCTCTCCATACTTACCCTAAGAAACTTAGAAAACTTTAGTTATTGTGCTAGTACTAGGGCTTGAACTCTGAGCCCGTGCTTAAGGCCAACCCATTACCATTTGAGCCACAGTTCTACCTCCAGCTTTTTCCTGGGTAATTGGAGCTAGGAGTCTCAAGGACTTTTCCTACTGCAGCTGGCAACTGGGATCCTCAGATCTCGGCCTCCAGAACAGGTAGGACTACAGGCATGAGTCACCTGACACCCAGCCTCCAAAACATTAGTCCATTTTCAAATTCCCACAAATCCTTCTGGAAAGAAGGCATGATTTGAGACTTTTCCAAATCACATAATTTCTCTTATATGTATAATTTCAACTGCCCCCTTTTTTGGAGGGGGGAGGGATGGTAGGGGACAGTTTGAATCCAGTTCTAGCCATGTAGCACAGGCCTAGAACTTGTATAGACTAGGCTGGTCCCAAGTTTGAGATTCTCCTGCCTCAGCTTCCCAAGTGATAGGATTACAGGGATGTGCCACCATGCCTGGCCTCCAATTCCATTTTAAACTCTTTCCATGTCCCTATCTGGTGTTCCCTAAGTATTCTTAGTATTCCCCAAGTATTCTTCATCCTTTCTCAACCAGTAGCCTCACACAAAACCCATTCCAACTGCCCCTTTCCAATGTCCTCCCCCCACTGCTACTCACAATAAAGAATCTCATAGTCGCCAGAATTGGACATGATGAAGTTCCCATCCTTGGACCAGTCAAGGTGAGTGATGAAGCTGGAGTGACCCTGGGAACAAGGGTAGAGTTTCCCAATGCAGTCACCATCCCCAGACTGCCCATGAAATGCACCAGGTCCCTTGTCCCTAAACCCACAGTGACCCTGTCCCACACTCCGCCTCAGCTTCCTCACCACACAGCGGCCAAAGCGGCTCGACTTGGCACCATCACTGGAAACACTATAGATGTAGATCATGTTATCATGGGAACCGATGGCCAGGTACAACCCATCTGCAAAGAGAGTCACTCAGAGAAAGAAGGGCCAGGGAAGAATCTGAATCCAGACTGGGGGCAGCTCCCACCTGGGCTGTACCGGACAACTGAGAGCTGTTCATTGCCATCGGTGACATCAGACACGATCTCTCTGGTCTCCGTGTCCAAAACCAACCACCTGGAGGAGGAGAGGAAAAGAGAGAAGGAAGCACAAAGGCCTCTAGGGATGTCTTTAGGGAAGGATGTCCTTAGGCAAGGTGGGAGGTAGTGAATCAGAACTTCAGAGAGGTGCATTCCACTACTGGGGAATGGGAAGAAGCGAGAGGCAGATAAAAGCTGGGGACCTTCTGATGCTCTCCAGAAAAGAAGTCAGAAACTGAGGCCAGGAATGTGGCTTAGTGGTAGAGTGCTTGCCTAGCATGCATGAAACCCTGAGTTCGATTTCTCAGGACCACATACACAGAAAAGCCAGAAGTGGCGCTGCCCAGGCTCTGAGTTCAAGCCCCAGGACTGGCAAAATAAAAAAAGAAAAAGAAAAAGAAGTGAGAAAGTACAGAGCAGGCCTACCACAAGGGCCTTGTGGAGTCAGTAAGCCTATCATTGTTTGTCCCTGCTTCCCCATACTGGTCTGCCATCCCCTTGCTCAGAGGAAGAGAGTGGCCGGGGAAGAGGTAGGGACAGTGACCACAGGAGAGCAGGGGAGGGAGGCACAGGCCACAGGGAGAAGCACAGAGAAGTGGAAAGACAAGGGGGCCCCTGAGCAGCCTTGGTCACACATGCCCTTCCCCATTACCAGCAACCCTTCCACATCTCCCCAGGGTCCTGGTATACTCTCACCTTCCTGTGCTCAGTCCTACGGCCATGACTGCCCCGCTCGGATGGAAGTCAGCACAGAAGCCTATCTCCTGGGAGGAGAAAAGGGGAATTCCAGTAAGGGAACTAGGAGACACCTTGTTGTCATGATAACTTCCAAGCTCCTCTTCTTCCAAGGAAATGATGGGCAAGAGACCTACAATACAGGCAGGGTCATAGGAACCTGAACAGGGAAGCCCCTAGCTATGCTGCAGATTGACCATTTAGCTGCTGCTGGACCAAAAGGAGGCTTGGGAGTGGAGCAGGTAACACTAGGGACACAAGAATTCCTATCTGAGGGCTGGGAAGGTGGCTCAGTGGTAGAGCGCTTGCTTTGCATGCATGAGGCCCTGGGTTCGATTCCTCAGCACCATATAAGCAGAAAAAGCCAGAAGTGGCACTGTGGCTCAAGTGGTAGAGCGCTAGTCTTGAGCTGAAGAGCTCAGGGACAGCGCCCAGGCCCAGAGTTCAGGCCCCACAACCAACAGAAAAAATAAATAAATTCCTATCTGAGTAGCCAGTATGGCCATACCAATACAATTGGCTGCCTCTGAGAAATGCAGAAGAACAGATGGATGTTGGAGAAGGAGCCATGGCCCCAAAAGTCATGGTGGGTACAGCACGAGCAATCAGGGACAGCTAGCTCTACCTTGAGATCAATGCTCCAGGCCAGCGCGTGGCCCTCCCCATCCCATAGGCAGAGCTGCCGGTCATGGCCACAGGTGAGGAAGCGGTTCTGGAAAGGGTGTGTGCAGAGCCCCCAGAGCTCATCCGTGTGGCCCTGCAGGAGAACATGGCCTGTCACTGCCACCCTTTCCCCAGCACCGCTTCCCTCCTTCCTCCCCCAGCTCTGAAGCCCCACAACCTGGATGACAGGGGAGAAGCCCTGAGCCAGATCTCCCCTCAGCAACGCGTTCTTCGTGGTTCCCACCAGAAGCTCGGAGCCAGGCCCTTCAGCAATGGCCCTCACGGCCCCAAAGTGTTCTGGAATCTGCAGAGTGGTAACCAAATGGTAAGAGCCCGCTGCAAACCATCCGCTCACACCTGTCATCCTAGCTACTCAGGAGGCTGAGATCTGAGGAAGTAAGTTCAGAGTAAGCCCAACTGAAAAGTCTGGGAGACTCCATCTTCAATTAACCAGCCAAATGCCAGACAGCCATGAAAGAGGAAGCTGAAAGACAGCCCTGAGTACAGGCCCCAGGTTCAAGTTCCAGTACTGGGACATACACATACACCAAAAAAAGTGAAGAACCCATGAGACCACTACCCATTCCTCTTCCCCCTCCCTCCCTTGACTCTGGCCAGTCCTCACCTCAGCCTCCTGGAGGGCTACCAACCCAGGTCCCCATTGCACCAGCCGACGGTCCCGCCCACCACCACTCAACACCGTCCCGTCCCTTCGCAGACACAGGGCGAAGATGGAACCTTCATGAGCATGAGCCTGGGCCACAATCCCATAGGTCTCTGTTGGTAAAACCATAGATGGGTCAGGCTCTTGGGAACGCAGGGGAGTAAGGAAAAGGACAATCTAGGCCATCACAATAGGGGAGTCACACCCACTGAGCTACTTTTTTTTGTTGGTCGTGGGGCTTGAACTCTGGGCCTGGGTACTGTCCCTCAGCTCTTCAGCTCAAGGCGAGCGCTCTACCATTTGAGCTACAGCGCCACTTCCGGTTTTTCTGGTGGTTTATTGGAGATAGGAGTCTCACGGTCTCTCCTGCCCGGGATGGCTTTGAACCGCCATCCTCAGATCTCAGCCTCCTGAGTAGCTAGGATTACAGGCGTGAGCCACCAGCTCCCGGCCACTGAGCTACTTTCTCTAAGCCCTCTGACTGTTAACACAGCTATTCTTCCCATTTATGCCAAGCATATCCTAGGCTGTTCATCAAAAGCCAGACAACTAGCAGCAAAAGTAGAGCTTTGAACTTGAGATCTGGCAGAACCCCCTCAACTCCCCCGCCCAAAAAATGCCATCTCTCAAGGTAGACAGATGAGGAACCCCCACCTCTTCCCACAGACCCCATGGGTAGACATCCCTTCTGATAGCCCCCAACCACACACCTTTAGCACCACCTCTGCCTGGAGTCTTAGAATCACAGATGCTCCGCCCCCAGGTAAGAATGTTCCCCTCAGAGTCCCCTGTGAGAATGTCTCCATCCGGGAGGAACACAAAGCAAGGGATAAACTTGGGTTTCTTGTATTTCTGGGGGAACAGAAAGCCGAGGGCAAAGGGTAAGACAAAATCCAGAAGTCACGGGACAGCTGGCAGAGGGGCAGTGTAAGGGTCCACAGTATTCAGCTCCATTCTTCCAGCCCCACTATGTCCCACCCCATGCCACCACCGCATTCATGCCTCACCCCAAAGACACCCTGCTTCCTGGAAAGGGTCCCATTCCCAGGAGCCCCTGCTCCACCATTCCAGTTCCAGAAGTGGACATGAGATTTCCCACTGGTAACAATGCAGCTGCTGTCACGAGGGCTGAAGCCAACGGCCAGGACTGAGTCATTTGTACTCTGAAAGAAGGAAGACATTAAGTCCGGCCACCCTAAACTCTGAGCACCCTCATTCTCCTTCACTTCTGTCTGCATCCCTATAAGTGACCTGGCACTGAAGCCAGGACAACCCTTTTTGCAAGGTGCTCGTCTGGGCTGGGGGTGTAGCTCAGGGACAGGATGCTCACCTGGCATTCTCAAGGCCCTGAGTTTGACTCCAACACCGGTAAAAAGAAGAGAAAAAAAAATCCCTTTCTCTGTGTCTCTCTGCCAGTACTGAGGAATCAAACCCAGGGCCTCATGCATGCAAGGCAAGCGCTCCACTGAGCCACCTTCCCGGCCCCACTTCCAGCTTTTTGCTGGGTTCAGAGATGAGAGTCTCAGGGATATTTCTGCCCTGGCTGGCTTCAAACCTCAATCCTCAGATCTCAGCCTCCTGAGTACAGCTAGGATTACAGGTGTGAGCTACTGGTACTTGGCCCCTCAGAACTTCTAAGGTCTCCATTTTACAGATGAAGAGAGAAGGGCTGAGAGAGAGACAGCCTAGAAGACTGGAAGGGAATGTATGGGTACACCCGAAGCTGTGTGTGCTCCCTCTGTCCCATTCCACCCCAACCTCAGACACCCGCTCCTCCTCCCCAGCCCACCTCACCTTGATCTCTGCCAGCTTTATTCCCCGGCTGCAGTCCCACACAGATAGCATGTGCTCATTGGAATCATCCACCACACAGAGGAAAGCACCCTGATCCTGAGGATGGGGGACACACAGTGGCAGGACGGAGTGAGACCTGGAGGCCTGGGGTTTCATGATAATCGGGCAGAGGGTGCGATCACAGCTTGAGAAGCCAGGAGAAGTTGGCATGCACCCTCTTCTCAGGAGAACTGGCTGGGTGGAGCTCAGGAAGCCAGAACTTCCCAGGCTTCCTGGGAAAGTGGATAAGGAGAAGAGGTCTAGAAACTTTGGGGCCAGCTCACCGCTGCTGAAAAAGCCAGAGCCCCGACACCACGTTCGAAGGCCCCCAGTCCAATCTCCTGCAACTTATTCAGCGACTCTGAGTTCCAGACATGAACCACAGGCTGCAGGGGCTAGTAGAAGAGAAAAGGATCAGGGCTTTGAAGGAGAGAGCCAGGCTGGAATTTCATCTTGTCTGCCTGGTATTCAGCCTCACCTTTCCATCCTTGTCCACTCCAGCCGTCTGTCCTGAGGCTACCCGCACCCCATCGGGGTGAACAGCAAGGCTAAGTAGGGGAGGAGACACTCTAGAGAAAGGGGTCTCTCTCAAGACCATCCAACTCGCATTGTTTACAGAGCAGCAAGTCAACCTCTCTCTCCTGCTCCTTCATTCCCAGCCAACCCCTCTTCCAGACAAGCCCACCTTCCCCAGGCCCCTCACCATCGAACGCAGTCCGTGTGTCCCCGGTAATGTCTCTGGCCGCCACCTCCAGGACCCCCTGGGCCTCCCCCGGGCCGGTACAGCACCACCACACAGGCGATGAAGTAGACCACCTCCCCAGAGCGCAGCACAAACAGATTAGAGCGGGAGTCGCGACCCCGGTACCCATAGCTGGGATGGGAAGCACCGTCAAGGAAAAGGGCAGGTCAGGGGCAAGAGGAAGAAGAGAGAAGAATGACAAGGCTTCTGGCTGGCAGCATCGTCTGTGGAAGGATGGGAGGGGACCATTCACAGGACTCTCTGTTCCCATACCCCAGGAAGATCCTCTAAGAAAAAGAAGCGGGGGCCCATGGTGGGAAGGTGGTTCCTGTGGGACTCGGGGGGCAGGATACACCCAGTCAAGGCTGAGGGTCTCCGGGGGTGGGCCGCTGGGCAGCTCCTCAAGGCTGCGGATGCCAGATGGGATGTACATGGTAATGGGGCGGCCGCGAAGGAACATCTTCACTGAGATGCCTTCTACAGAAAAAAGGGGGTGTCAGCCTCCCTTCCAGAAGAGCCAGAGCAGAACTCCACCCATCCTATCTCATAGTTCCCCCAATACAGGTCCTGGGGCATGAACCCAAACCCTAACTCCATCAGCCAAGGTCTCTCCTTCTACCCCTCTGCACATACCCAAATTATAATTGCTTCTCCGAGACCCAGGACCTCCAGGGCTGGGGAGGGGATCTTTGCCCCCACGGCTGTTGGAAAGAAAGAAAAACATAGGAGACTAGGATCAGGTTCCAACACTTGAGGGATGAGTGGTAGGACACAAGAGAGGTTCCTAGCTGGTCACTGGTGGCTCATCCATGTGATTCTAGCTACTTGGGAGGTTAAGATCCAGAGGCTCGAGGTTTAAAATGAGCCTGGACAGAAAAGTTCATGAGACTCCATTTCCAAAAGAACCAGCAAGAAGGGGTGGGAATGTGGCTTAGTGGTAGAGTGCTTGCCTAGCATTGAGCCCTGGGTTCAATTATTCAGTACCACATAAACAGAAAAAGCCAGAAGTGGTGCTATGGCTCAAGTGGTAGAGTGCTAAACTTGAGCAAAAGCAGCTCAGGGACACTGCCCAGGCCTGAACCAGCAAGAAGCCAAACTGAGCTGGGTGCTAGCAGCTCATGTAGCCTGTAATTCTAGCTGAGATCTGAGGATTTTGATTCAAAGCCAGCCCAGGGAAAGAAGTCCATGAGACTCATCTCTAATTAAGCACCAAAATAGCTGTGAAGTGGAGCTCTGGTTCAAGTGGTAGAGTTCTTTTTTTTTTTT